TATATATATATATATATATATATATACACATATATACATATACATATATATATATACACACAAGGTTACGTGTGATTCAACCTGTGAGGAGATACCTGCGGCTTCTTCGAACGAGACTATTCAAGTTTCCCTGTTTTTAGACGATCTTATTCCCTTCTCAGAGACACAATAAGACGAGGCCAAGGAATATTTGGATAGGCTGTGACTGACGTCTAGTTCTAGACACCGTACGAGGTGCGCTCTTAATTAATCGTTGGTCGATCGATCGATCGATCGATCGATGGAACAATTCGTTATTATTATTAGTTGAATTACGGATACGAGTAACCTGTATTTGTATATTACCGCTGTTCACGAGAATTGGTATATTAAATGTCATTATCGTAACGTGCGATTGTCTCTCTGTCACTCTGAACTTTTCTTCCTCTCTTGCTCAGTATTGTACCAGAATAACGAGGTTCGTTGTTACGGCTCCGGCAATCTAAATCATGTACGTGTACATGCACACATGCACACATACACGATATAAACACAAGGAAGATAGATACGATGTTTTACGTTTGCGTGTAAAACGTTAGTTGTAGAATGCATTTCATACTTGTCGTGCGAGTAATCGAGATAGTCTTACCGACGTTATCAAATTTCTGTCCACCGTAAAGAGTCCGCATGCCGAGAACTCGAGAGGTCGATGCAACAACTGAAGCGAAAATATTTCCAATTCTCGTCGGGTGTCTGCTTCAAAAGTAGCCGAGGAAAGTAACTGACTAACGAGAATTGCCGTTCTTTTCCCCTGAAAACACGAAAACACGTTGCTGCACACAAACTTGCATTTTTCTTTTCTTTTCTTCTCTCTCTTCTCTCTTCTCGTTTCGTCTCTCCTCGTTCTCTTTCTCTTACTCTTACCTCTGTCACCGTGAAATAGCTAGGTTGAACGATTATTAGCATTCTGGCTATGTGAATGATACACCATCCAGCTTGTACGAATAGAAATATCCATTCGTGTTTTTCACTCGCTTTAGCTTGTAAGATTAGGAAATACGGCGTGATAATTAAATGCAACAGACAAGTTACAGTGACGGCCAGTAGTACAACTCCGAACGTAGTGTTTATGAGAGAGACTGCGTCGCAAAGCAAAGAGTGAACCATTATCAAATCAGATATACCATTACGGGATTTGCTTTCTGTAAGCGCACGAGACAGGCAAAGTCAAAGTCAGTTAATCCGCCATTTCTCCTACCCATCCCCAGGTTTACCATTAATTATTTACCAAGTTTACAATCCATTTGCCGCGACAATCTGTAACTGCCCAATACCAGTTGCCTTTTCTTCGGCGTGACGTTCCGTCTTTTCTTGCCTCCGTTATCATTGCCTGCAGCTGCTTGCATCGCTCAAACAGATGTCGATTCGGTTGTCGATTCGATCGATGAAGAGACAAAAATTAAGATTAAAGAAATTAAGCACTAGGAAATACTAGGAGATACTAGGAAATCCAGGGAAAGATGAACACACGAAGTGTTTTACAACCAAGCAAAGAGGTGATTTTCCATGAAAAAATTAACAAGTCAGAAATGTTTTTTCTTTTTTTTTTTCTTTTGGAAAACTAAACTAGTTCGTTTGAACGTCTGAACGTTTACTTGGTTTAATGTTTAACTGTGTGTAATTACTGTATCTCAAGCGAACGGATCTTACCGTTTACGTTTGCGTTTGTTATAATAGTGTTTCATAGAGATGACAGATTGGTCGGAACATTGAAGAACATGAAGTCAAATTTGTCTTAGATTCTATACGTTGGACGAGATTAATATTTATATTTCACACTGGTTGGGAACAATTGGCACATTTCTTACATGTTTTTGCATTTGTGAAAAATATACAAAAATATCTAAAGCAAAGTAAATATTTCATTCACAGCAGTATTTTTTTTATGGAATAAATCTCTGATTGAGTTTCGTTTCTCCAATTATATTAACAAAAGTTTGCATAAAAATCTAGAGACAGATCTACTAATCAGTAAACCAAACAGATATAGATACGAATCATGTACATATGCAACAGAATGAAAGAAAATATTAAGATATCATCGTTGTAAAATTTTCTGCCTCGTTGCTAACTTCAGACACG